ATCCTATCTTCTCTGGTAGGAGCCCAGTAGAATTTCTCCATACGACCATCACGGATAAGAGGAGCATACAATGTTGAAAAATCGTTACCAGTGACGATGATGGGTACACGTGGATTATCCTCCTTGTTGTACATGCCAGGAAGTTGCACATTTGTTGGGTTGTCAGCAATGTTCATGAGGGTAGCATTAACCATCTGGTTGTTGACAGTGTATTGGGTAGTTCCACCAAGCCTCCCAGCTCCGGCATCAAGATCATTGATGAAGAGGCAGCACATCTTTCCCTTCTTCTTGATTATATCAGCCGCCTCACGGTACCTTTGCCTGATAAGTTTTGCGGGTTCACCAGCGTTTCCACTTTCCAATTCTCCGGCACTCATCATGATTGGGCTGAAATATGTGTTATCATCAGATGAAATGGCAACAAGCATAACAGAAAGATCTATAATCTTAACATATTCAACATGTACAAGCTGTCAGACAGAGAAATAAAGTTGATGGAAACAAATACTCACCTAATTCCCATCTTGGCAAAGACCAGTTCACATTGGAAGGATTTTCCTTGACCTTTGCCTCCCCAAATACCCAAGATGAGAGGAACCTGCAACAAAGTCACAGAAATTGTTCTTCTTTTTATTTTTTCAAATATACCAATAGAAGTGATTATTTAATAATATACTGAATTGACTTTATAAAAGAAGTCGGCTGTTATATATACCTTGATATTAGGCAGGCTCATGAAGTTCTTGGTGACGTGAACAACAATCTTGTCCATGAAAGCAGGAGCAATGTAGTAACCATCCATCATGTTGTCCAGGTCGTACCTAAAGCACAGTCACCAAGTCATGTTCATAATCAAACTTGTCCACAACTTCAAGCGAAATGGAAATCATAAGTATTGGTTGTGTTAGAGAATAATCTACAATAATTTCCATAAATAAAAGTGCGCTACTTACGTACGAAGACCTTGACTGATGTATTCATAAGAACTCAAAACGGGGTTGTGAGTTCCGGTTCCCTGGGGGGCTTGGAAAAGAGAGTCCACCATACCCTTTCCTCTGGTGATATCTTGTTGATCATCAGACATGTCTGTAACAAGGCCTCCCCATCTGTCCTTTTCGGTCTGCTTCTGCTCATCGTACTCCTCAGCAACAACCTTGAAGCTCCCTGATGAAATCTTGGAGTTTGTGAACCTTGATGAGCTCACTTTCTTCAAGCTGTTGCCAAAGAAAGCTGAAGTTGGGACTGTAGATCCAGCGCCAGAGCCATTCAAGGCCAGCTGCATCAAGTTATGTTTGGCACTATTTAGAGCCAACAAACCACATGTACAGATCCAACTAATTCATCGCAAATTTCAATTTTTTTAACATTCAATATAGCACAACCAAAATTAAGCCCCCTTCGTCCCTTCATCTATGAATATCGAGCCCTTTAATTAGTTAGTTCAGCTTAAAGCTTTTTATCCCAGTTCATATAGCAATCCAAGACTAGGCATGCATACACACACACGAACGCGCGCACAATTATACAGGTTCATTCATACATAAGTTCATGCATATACAAGCATAGGTATGCTTGCAGCGTCACACATAAGAGCACAAAGCATGAGAATTCTACTCTTTTGCTAACTATGTAAGGCCCAAAAGTGAAAAGAAACAAACAACAACACAAAGACCAGCAAAATAATTAACGTGTTGGATAGTTTAAGAACCCACAATCTTAAAACTGGGTAAGAAAACAAGCTATATACAGGCGAAGGTATCAAATTTAAAGCACATGATGCAGATAGTCAGTTGAAGCATAAAATGGCGGGAAATTAAAATTAGAATACCGGTGCTCTGTTGACAGCTCCAACGGTGGAGATGGTGGCTGCCATGATCAAACAGCAGTGATTGATTGAAAAAGTAATGCAAAGGGTGGAGTGACTTCTAGCTAGCAAATGCCGAGTTTTGGCCTTTGAGGTGCGAAGTGAGGGACTTATAGCAACAGGAAATCGGGGTCTATGAGGATTGGTTTTCGAAATCCTAACGGCCACACAATCAAGATTGGATTGCTTCCACGTGGCATTAGGACAATAGTTTCTAGCTTGAGTTCCTCTGGAGGGTTTAGCAATTTGAGGTGCTCTTTGCTACTCAAATTGTTGTCAATTGTGTTATTACCACAAAAGCCTTAGAAACTAGAACCACCCCCCGTTCGTTTGTGATTACCAAGTGGTTCTTTTTTATTTGTCTGTTTATATCATTATTAATACCCTTCTTCTTCTTTTTTAATGCAAGATGATTATATATTGGCTGGGCTAAAATTTTTATAGATATTATATATATATCCATACATATTAAGTTTTTTATTATTTGATGATTCTACAAAAATATCTGGTTGTAATTATTAGAACTAGATAAAACCTTTAAAATGCATATAATAGTTAGAAATTATCATAATTTTCACGTACAAAAAAAAAATTATATTCAAATATTTCATTAAACAGTTAGCGTATAATATCATATAAAAATAGTCTAATAGGAAGAGACTATAAAATACCTTTGATTTCATGATTTAACTAGAACAATAAAAATTCAATTTAAATTATTGATATTTTCATTTGTTTTCTAATTATTTCTTCTTTTTCAAATAGAAAAAAAATAGAATTGTAAAATGCATTATTACTTCATTAGATCAAATTTAAAAAAGAACAACTATAATTTCTGTAAAAAAAAAAAAAAGAGAGAAGGGGAAGAAATTAAAAGAATGAGATATGACTGAAATTGTGAAGACAATTAAAAAATATAAAATAAATAAAGAGAAGGGGAAGAAATTAAAAGAATGAGATATGACTGAAATTGTGAAGACAATTAAAAAATATAAAAATATATATATTATTTATATCAAGAACTCATATTATTTACATTAGATTATATGGATTATATCAAGTAGAAAAGTAGAATGAGTTTTAAAAATCCTAACTCATATATATATATATATATCATCTAATTTTAAAATATAAATTCGGTTCAAATAATATAAATAGAGTACATGATCTGGTTTTTTCGAAAACCCCTAATTATTTACGGGACCCAACTCACATCCCTGCAAGATGATTCTGAGATTATAAATGGTTATCAGGAACTCATCAGAAGAGTCAAAATGTCTTGTGCAAGAATTGTCGATGGTTTTGTCCAGGCGACTGTTCAAGCGCCTTGTCCATTCATTGCCAAACAGAATTCAAAGTTGAAACACAGCCACAGGTGACGATATCCAGCTAGAGGATTATCTTCCTAGCTTGGGACCCAAATTCTTCCTATTGAATTGGGGCTCTTCTTCTGAAGTTCTGAGTCTTGACATTTTTGGAAGTAAACGAAAGGATGGGGACCTAAAATTTGGCCCACAAATGCTCTAATGGCCTCAAAGACTGCGACTCCTAAAGGGACTGTCTGCGTGTGAATGCTCTTCCAAGTCTGATAATTCTATCCAGTTAGTTGTATTATCTTTCTTTTATAAGGTAAATAAAAAAATTGAATGAAGTAATTAGTAAAACATTTAGGTTCTTGAACGTGCAAAGTATAGGTTCACGGAGAGAAGTTATGAAGCAAGCTTTAGCACTTGTAGATGGATAAAATGACCATTCCATGATAGAGAAAGACATTTTCATCGTTGTTTTTTTTTTTTCATGAAATGAATTCTGACGAGAGAAACATATAAACAAACTCAAATATTTCCAAGTTAGTGGAATTTAGCAACTGCTCTGCTGAGATCCCTTGTAGGACAATCTTATTATCAAACAACTATCTCATCTAAAAACTTCAGCTATTAGACGAGGTTTCAGGATATGATTTATATTATTTTCTAATACACCTCCTCAAGTGAAAACTCTTTGGACTTAAAACTTGCACAGGCCCACATTACCTTGTACTTAATTTTTTTTATCAAATAAATGGGGATGGTGAGATTCGAACTCGAGACCGTTTGGTCATTAAAGTTCTGATACCATGTCAAAGAACTATCTCATCTAAAAACTTAAACTGTTAAATGAGGTCCCAGGATATGATTTATATTATTCTCTAACATACCCCCTCAAGTGAAAGCCTTTTTAGACTTGAAACTTGTACAGGCTCACATTACCTTGTGCTTAATTTTTATCAAATAAATAGAAATGGTAAGATTTGAACTCGTAATTGTTTAGTTGTTAAAACTCTAATACAATATCAAAGAATTATCTTGCCTAAAAGTTTAAATTTTTAAATGAAATGATTCTTTAACACCCATGATAAAACCTATCACGTTAGGTCCATTAAACCTTCACAAAGCAATCAAGAAATTCATTAAGATGGCATCACATCACAAATAAGATCAACACTGTCAGAACTGCATAATTTTCACAAACAGCAAGCAACAAAGAAATAGAATCTAGTCGCCTGCAGCAAAAGAAGTAGCGAGATTTCGAAAGGACAGTCGGATTTGTGGATCCCTTTTCTTAAAATTTATGGAAATGCCCACATTCCAAGTTTCAAAAGTTCCAAGGACCCTTTTTCTATTTTTTTCTTATAATCGTTCTCCTCGACAAAGAACTTTTCATAACACCCATTAAAAAGAAATGACTGATGCACTTGCCTGAATGGTGGCATTTCTTTTTTAAGATAAATTACTATTTATAGCTATTATATCTCATTTTCAGAGCCCAACCAATGAAAATAATGATTAGATTTCCCATCAGTTTATTTATGAAGATTATTGATGAATAAAGCCCTTTCAAGGCACGAATCAGGAAAACCCTACCCAATTTGAGAATGAAATTGAAGCCCACAAGGAAGACCATAAAGAATAGGAAAAGTGAGAATGTCTCTTAGCCATATCTAGAAGGGCGCACGACCCTTTGCAAGTGATGATTATAAAGAGCAAATCTCAACACTAATTCCAAAACAAACCATCTTTCTTACAAGTAAAATCACCGTGAGAGAAATAAGTAAAAAACATAGGACAATGTTAGGGCTGGGCTCTTCATGCGGAGCATGCAAATTCCTGAGAAGAAAGTGCACAAGCGAATGTGTGTTTCACCGTACTTGTGTTACGACCAGGTTGCGGCCCACTTAGCAGCAGCGCACAAAGTGCTCGTTGCAAGCAATGTTTCAAAGCTATTAGTGCACCTACCACTGCACAAACGAGGTGATGCTGCTATCACCATACCTTATGAAGCACTGGCTAGGATGCGAGATCCAATATATGGTTGTGTTGCGTATATCTTTGCACTCCAACAACAGGTGTCTATGGTGTTTCTCAAGGTGCCCGAACATTTGCACAAATCACCTATAATATAAATGAGTTCCAACTTTGGGCATGAGTTTCTTACAGTGATTAGTTGCCTTGCAGGTTGCCATCTTACAAGAGGAGATGGAAATTCTTGGGAACCAGATGGCCAGTCTCACAGTCGGGAACTAGGCGGAAGTTCACAAACAATTTCAGACCTGAATTTTGAAATGCTGTTTTCCTTCCAACAAGATGCCATTAACACAACACTATCAGAACCCACAATCTGCACAGCTAAACCATTCAGGATATACAACTGGTAACCAAACTTTTGACGGCCAAATGAAGGCACCACTTCCTTCTTTATATGGATGGGAAGACCAAAACAGTTTTTGCAACCCTCACCGCGTCCTTTAGAGAGACTCCTCCCTTTCTGTTCATGACCAGAGAGCGGAAACAAAAAAAATATGAGATGATCCTTAACTCTGGGGACACCATTTGTGGCAAGTCTGGGCTAGCCCAACAGATGTTTCGTGGATCAATAAGGAAAATTGTGTTTGCATCTTTGTAGTTTCAGTTATGTAGATTGCAACGGTTTCAAGTTCAGGGTGTGAGATTCCAAATAAGCATTTCCTGTCATCTAAAAACATCTAACCTCAGACCTGCAAGCAACCAAATAGATGAGACACATCCAGAAAAAATTTCGCTCAACTCTAGCGAAGGCAATATTATTCCTAGCAGTTGGCAACACTACCAGTCATGAATCAAAGAAATATTAAGTGATTTGATGTATTCAATACATTGATACTCATGAACCAAAGAAATATTAAGTGATGCAAAGCATTCAACAGATTGATACTTTCTCAATATTTACCCATAAAAAACCTTTTTCAATGCCCCGTGTAAGAAGCTTCAAAATGAATTCCATGCAACCATCTCTTTTATCCCATAACTCTACATGCATAGACTGCAAAATGCTACATGGGAAATCTAAACCAGACTGATTAGGCAGTTTGCAATCAGGCTTCAAGGTCATTAAAATATATTGCAGCCTAAAATAAACCCATTCTATTTGAGAAATTTTTCAAGTTCTGTTGTCAAAATAGATCATTTAGTAACTAGCCGAGACAAGCACATATCCACAATTGTGATTTAAAAAAAAGAGAGAGATACTTGAAAAAATTCTAAAACATAGTAAACATGATTATGATAGGAATATATCATGGTGTGCTCAATCCAAATAAAATGCACCCACAACCTTACATCAAGTCACCAAACACAAAAATACCATAGAGAAAGTCAACTTCAAATATGCAGTGCCTTTCCAAGTCATATGATTGAATTGATGCAACTACAAATAGTTTCCAATTCGTAACAACAACCACAGTTTGCACTCTAGGACTAGTTTATCTATCATCTTATGTTGGGAATGCCCCTTTCACAGCCCTTCCATTAGAATGCAACAATTAGCTCCAACCATGCTGTTTCACAAAAAATTATTGGTCTCATTTTCATATGCAATCGTATAAATACAGATCAAGCTATGACACCATTAAACATTGCCTGACTATCTCATTAGCAAATTATAATATTAATAATTGTCTATAAAATAGATCGTAACCTTTAGTACTATAAAATAAATATATACGGGTGATTGAGATCATAGAGTATTTGTAACTTCAATACTGGAATTAAGCAGACAAGCATGATAAAATGAAATTGAATGAAATAGCAGGAGAAAAGCTCATGCTAGAATGACAGCAGACCTAAACTTTAAGGTCAATCCACTTTCTGCAAGGATGACTGCCTTCATTCAGATCTAGAAGTGCCTGGAACTCCTTGCGTGAAAAGGATGGAGCCTCAAGCAGCATTCTGCAGAGCATTGGCTGCAAATTTTGATTTTTTAAAAGCACGAGTTTAGCAGGATCATATACTCTGACATACAGGCTGTAAGCCCGTAACCAACGAGAAAACAGTGTACAGAGAGATATTTTGTAAATCCACTGTTTTGCAGACCTGAGCCAAAATTATTGTAGAGATTTGTGGAAGGAACAAACGAAGAGGCCTCTGCACATTGCCCATGATTTGTCAATGACAGCACAACCATGAGAGGTCCAAGCTTAGGATCGAATATGGCTTCCATACGAGCTTGAATAACATAAGAATTTTTTTGGTCCATCAGAGAACAAATTTGGGTTGCTATTTTGTAATTTACTTCAACTATGAAAGTAAACATAGAAGCATACATGTATTCCAAAATGAATCCCCAACATGCAGCACCTTTTTCTTTTGGATCAATTAAGTCTGTAAGAATTTGGACGATGAAACTAGAGCAGAACCAGATGAAGTACCTGCAGCACATAATATGCATGCACAAGTACCAACAGAAAGACAACATACTGAGACAGGCAGACAGATGCAGGGCTACATAATTTTATATCATATCGTGCTATCATACTGAAATTCTAAACAGGCTCAGCATGGGTAAAATGTATAGGCACCATGTCACCTGGATATAAATTTTCACTGCAATGATGTGAATAAGTGTTATGGTGATGCAACAAGAACCAAGCCTCCAAAAAGTGATACCGTGACAGAAAGATGGAAATTCGGATATATTAAGATGGTTTGACGAATGTTTAGCACCAAGCGCAGTTAATGAAGCACTCCGGTTTTGAAAAAAATACAGCCAATTTTAGACGTGTAGGTAGGGCACACAAGCTCTATAATATATTAAATCTTCTCCATGGAGAAATGGTGGCAAAAAATTTAGATGACCTTCAGGCCACAACTGATACCTCACTCAGTAAAGCTTCTTTGTTTTGGGACGCAAGTGGGTGAAGAATCACAACCTGAAAGGGGGAAGTAAATTTGTGGAGTAGACAGGAAAATATAAGCAAATACAGAGTCACAAACATCAGGTTTATAGGCTTCAAAGATGGACAATAGCAACCATCTCATTTCTGTGTGCTACTGTACACTTGATTACTGAAACATAGATGTCATTGTAAAGATGAAAAAATATGTACCGCAATTGCAAAGGTTCAATTGGTTGCAACGCAGATAATGTTTGGCCATAACATGGAAAACCACATAATTCTTCAAGATTGTGAATAACTAGAGAGGTTATCCTGAATTGACTGATTCAGTGAACATAAAATTCATTCAACTCCATATGCCGCACACACCCCTTACTACTCTGTTTGACACTTCCCTCGACTAATGGCTTGGCTTTCAATAAAAATGATTCATGGATTGCATAACTAAAACAGTTCATTCCAAGCTGGTTAAATAGGAACCTCTTCATTTGCACAACGGCATAAACAATGGAAGGGTCATTGCAAGAAGTTGGCCTCAGTTCTTTATGTCACTCATCCATCATAAAAGATGTCCAAAAAATTTATTTTTCATTAACAGTTAAAATTCTTACTGCATAGCACCTACAACACAAAAGAACGAAGCCAAAACATGGTAAAGGGAACAACATGAAACTCAAAAAAGTTGTGCACCCCACTTCCCTAGATTAACGACTTGGCTTTCAATAAAAATGATTCATGGATTGCGTAACTAAAACAGTTCATTCCAAGCTGGTTAAAAGGAACCTCTTCATTTGCACATCAGCATAATCAATGGAAGGGTCATTGCAAGAAGTTGGCCTCAGTTCTTTATGCCTCTCATCCATCACAAGGGACGGCCAAATTTATTTATTTTTTTCATTAACGGTTAAAATTCTTCATGTATACCTTATTTAGCACTTTAGCTACAATACAAAAGGACGAAGCTAGAACATGGTAAAGGGAACAACATGAAACTCACAAAAGTTGTGCACCCTAAATCCACTCAAACTTCTGTGTACTTTTGGCAGAAAAAATTGAGGAAAAATTTTGAAACCTTGGAGATACTTGGATTTGAACAGAGAAGCAAATCCACCATCTGACTTCAAAAGGCAAAACCCTGACAAGAATGTTTGTGAAAGACACTAACCTGTCTCAAGAGCACCATTCTCTGGCATTCTGGAACATCTTTAACCACGGGCTAGGGCCTTTCTTGTCCAAACTCCAATGCGTGGGGTACCAAGGGAATTGCCACATCAAGAAGCAACGCTCAGGATGAGGCATCATTGCAAGATGCCTCCCATCAGGAGAACAAATCGCTGCAACTCCTAAAGGAGAGCTATTGACATTGAAAGGGTAAACTTCTGTTGGATTCCCACCATCATCACAGTATCTTACTGGGGGAAAATTTGAATGAATCACACGATCAACTACACCATCATCGGGGAAATATGTTCTTCCCTCACCATGAGCCGGCCACATACCTAATGTGCTACCCTCCATTCCTTTGAACATGATAGCGGGCGAGTCCTCTATTGTCACCCTTGTAAAGCGGCATTCAAACCGACCAAACCTTGGTTGTGATGGGTCTCCTCCAGTACCAAACACACCCCCAACTTGAGGACCTGGGACCCACCCCAAAGAACCATGAGCTGACACCCATTGCAAACACCAAGACTAAAAGTATCTGGTCGTTTGTAGAACTCTTGAAATTGATTCAAAAGAAGCTTGTTAAACCATATGGAAGCAGACCAACCTTTTGCAGAATCAAGCACGTCGGCATAGCTAAAGCCACCCACAAACACGATACCAATGAAATCACGAAGAGTGATAACTCCATTCAGAAGGTCTGACATTGTAATATCCCAGGGTTCAAAACCAGCAGCATAAAAAGTTGCAGACATCTCTCTATCTCCATTGCTGCCTTCCTCTCGAATGACAGCTACTTTTGACTTTGATGTTGCGATCATATATTTATCATCTATAAAGGTAGGAGTGAAGGACAATCTCCAGGTAGGTTCATGCCTAGACTTTAAACCTTCCTTCTCTAAGCCCACACAAGAAGCTAATCTCTGAAATTTCTCCAGATGGAAACTGGTTTCCTCACAAATGTCTCCAAGGAAAGATGTTTCCTCCTTCAATTGAGTTACCCCATCAACTTTCAATTCTATCAAGGGTGAGGCAGTCACTCGCCCAATAATCTCGCCAGAAACCCCAACACTATTGAGCTTTTGCATTACAATATCCAAGTTTTTTCTGCTGACTTCAAGAACAAGACCAAGCCCTTCTGCAAAGACTGTTTTGAAGAGGCTCTCCCCTTTTGAAATCAAGTCCAAAAGAATACCACAATTCCCAGCAAATGCCATCTCCAGGGAACAGACCAGTAGCCCACCATCACTAATATCATGGCCAGAAGAGATTATTTCTTCGCTAATAAGATCCTGCACAAACTCGAAAGTTTTTTTCAGGTAAGAAACATCGTCAAGATCTGGGCAGTCATCACCAACTTGGTCAAAAGCCTGAGCAATTGCAGATCCACCCAAGCGCCTCTTTCCCTTGGCCAGATCAATGTGAAGAAGTAAACCCCCATCTCCCAACTTCAGATCAGGGGTAATTGTTTTTGTTATGTCAGGGCAAGTGACATAAGCACTGATAACGAGATTTCCTGGGGCCTTAACAATCTCACCACCTGCATGGACTGCCATGGAGAGACTGTCCTTGCCCCCATCGATAGCAATGCCAAGTTCAATCATAGCTTCTGAAAGAGCTGTGGCAGCATACATCCAATTCCCGCTTGCTTTAACATCAGAAAGAGAAGTAATCTTTGCCCAAACCAGATTTGTGAGAGCTTCTCCAACAGCCAACCTCGCCATAGCCTTTGGATTAACCAGACCTTTGATAGGTTGTTCCCCAATGGCCCAGGCACCTCCAGTCAAATCAGTATAGGTCTGAGCAATGACAGCAACATCAGCAAGTGTAATTTGTAGAGGACCAACAGTTTGCTGCTGTGCTACAAGACCTGTTACACACCTGTCCACTTTTGTTGTTAAGAATCGTCTTGAACATACAGATGGAAGTCTTAATACCCTCATTAAAATATCCATCACTGTGATGTCTGGAGCAATATCAAGTGGCTCTCGTGCAGAAACCACCCGATGGAACTCAAAACTTTTCTGAGGCGTGTCCCCAAGAACTTTCTCAAGCTCAAGATCCACTGCAGGAGGAGGGGGAGGGAGTCCATTTGAACGACATTTCTCAATAGCTTAACTATCAACCAAGACAACACGTCCCTCTGCCACTAATAGTTCCGATAACAACCATTGACACCCTTTCCCTTTTGCAGATTGATTGCAAGAGGTCATGGCTTTCAGCCTTCACCAAAATTGTATCTTGCTTCTGATACTCTGCACCCAATATCTCCAAAACAGACATTGTGTGATCACCAATAACAATTGCCCTGATGTCAATTTGAGCACCCTTTGGATATATAATTTCCTTAACAACATTACAGTTACCACCAGCTCCCTGATCATGGATACTGATGATTGGATTATCCTCACCCATCTCGATGCAGGAACGAACAACACGATACAGTTTCTGTGCCATCTCAGCATCTCCACGCTGTACAGCATTAAAGTCAAGATCTGCATCATTCTGGCCACTCACCATGCTTGATGCGGCCCCACCTCCCATTCCAATTCGATAAGCAGGACCTCCAATCTTTACAACCAGCATGCCAATATCAGGTTCCCCTTTCGTTATGTGGGTGTGATCAATTTGCCCAATGCCTCCACTGAACATAATTGGCTTCAACCATTCCCGCCTCTCCCCACTAGGAAGTCGCATCCCGAAAGTTCTAGTGTAGCCCTGAATCAAGGGCTCCCCAAATTTCTTTCCATAATCTGAAGCACCATTGCTACCATCAATGAGAATCTGCAAAGGTGATGCCAAGTTTGATGGGTATGTGAAAGAATGATCTACCTGTGGCGCATAAGACCCCACAACATTCAGATTCCCAACGCAGTAACCAGCTGTAGATGCAACAACAAATGACCCTCTACCTGTTGCATGAGTATCCCTAATTCGACCCCCCGCAGCTGTCTCTGCCCCAGGGTGAGGTGCCACTGCACACGGGAAATTATGAATCTCGGCTGTAAATAAAATATCAAGGTCACGGTTGCTTGCATTTAAGGGACATGTTGAGCCGGGCTGAACTGGCCGCAATCGCTTTACAGGGAAGCCTTTGATTGCACTCGAGCTGTCCTTGAAACCAATGACAGAATTATTTGGATTTGCCTGCAACGTGCTCTTCACAATCTGCATAAGAGTTCTATTCATGGGCTGTCCATCTATAATAATCTTCCCAGTGAAAAACCAATGCCTGCTATGCTCGCTATTTGATTGTGCAATGTCAAACAATTCCACAGTTGTCGGATTCCACTTGATGTCCTCCCTGAACAAACTAGTATAATACTGTAAATCTTGCTCATCAAACGCAAGCCCCATCTCCTGATTAATCTCCTCCAATGCTTTTCTACCCCTCTCCATGACAGGAACATGTCGAACTTCCTCTGGAACTACACTGGTTTCAAAAGATGTAAGCTTCTGAGTATAAACACCCTCAGTCATCCGATCATGAACCATTGCAGCAAACTCATTGACAAATTGATAATCTTGCAACACACCCTTACTGTACAGTAAGTACCTCCTTGACCGTTCCAGTCTAGTAACCTCTGTCAACCCACAAGCATGACAAATTGATACAGCATTCTTAGACCAAGCTGTGGTAAAAGACAACCTGGGTCTAGCCTCGAATATCACAGCATTCACTCCGTCCTTCATCTTCTTCTCAAGAAAGCTCTCGGTCCCCAAATTCTCGGGCTCATAAGTTTCTTATAGAAGCCACCTAAGAACCCCAAGCTTCTGGCTTGAAATCCAGACCGAATCCCGATATTAAAGCACTGCTCAGTTCGCAAAAAAACAATCTTATTTGAAACTTTTAACAGACTTAAGTAATTCAAGAGTTGCACTCTCTTGAATCAACGGAATGCGATAAAAATGAATCAGTTCTTGCGCGGGCTTTTCAATTAAACTTGACTGCTCATCAACAGAACTCGTCACACCTCCAGAAACCAAAGCTGTAGGCTTTGATTGCGCACGACACCTCAATGAAACACTCCTTTTATTAGATACACCAAACGCAGGCCTATGACCACGAAGCATCCCCAACAGCAACTGGTTCCGTAGATTAATAGGCAAATCTCTCTGTACATACAGGGTTTTCCTATTGTTGCCCTGTTATAGAATTCCAGGAAGAAAACAAATCACCAAAAAATAAGGTTTCTAGAACAATTAACAAGAAATTGAATCCTGCAAGTGCAGAAACAAGAAAAATTAAACTGAAAATTGTATCCTTCATATCACAATCAAGAAAAGTGATAGTAAAAAAGGACTTACAAGCAAGAATTCTGTTGCCGCTGTGATTTCTCGGGCACCCGCCATTACACTGGACCTGTACAAATTCACGAAACTATATGGGGGGAAAAAACAGAGACAAGACAGGAAAAGAGTGTGTGTGTGTGTGTGTGTGTGTGTGTAAATAAAAAAAAAAAAAAAAAAGGAGAAGATAGAAAGCAGAACATGAAGAATCATTGGCTAACCTATAGCTACAATTTGCAGGTTGAGAGAGTGCTTGGGCTTAGGGTTTTGTGTGTGTAAGTAAACCCTACTCTCAGAGTAAAGTTGAGAGAGAGAGAGACAGAGAGTCTATTTTTCTATTTTCAAAATATTTTTTAAAAGAAAAAACAAAAGAATCGAAGGTGTACTTCCTCGCATGATAATAATGGACAGAGCTGTATTATGAAGCATCACTTGAAAGCACAGTACAGAGAAAATCAGGAGCGTGACTCCAAGAAACATTACACATAAAATCAAATGACAAATTAGCAAGAAACTGCGCAATTGAGCTGGCATTTATGGTGACATGAACAATCTTTTTTTTTTTTATTAATGTAGATGTTTGGATCAGCTTGCGTGCATCATCACTAATCACATAACTTATTGAATATCCTGCAAATCTAAAAAATAAGTAAAGTACCACAGGATGACAGACGTACCATATAAAAAAAACTTAGTAGAGATATGAAAAAAACAACTCTCCAATTTCATTTTCATTAGAACTCGAACCGAAGTTTGAAAGAAAAAAAACTTCGCCTACATCAGAGCCACACAGCTAGCTTGGTGACATGAAAATCTTTAATAATAGCTGAACCATCAATCAATCTGCGACAGTCCTGTAGGACTAACCCATATTCGAAAATATCAGGGTGAGCTAATTTTGTAGAGGCAATGCCATCTACAAGGGCTTTTGCATCTGATTCAACGATGATATTGTTGAAACCAAGTGTATGAAGCTTCTCCAAAATCCCTGTAAGAGGTAATGCCCCTACCATCCGTGGTTCGAAAGCACCTGTGGTTTGCCAGCAGCCACACTAAAGCACAAAACTAACTCCCATACCTGCAACATTATTTGAGATAGCAGCATCTACATTGCACTTGAGAAACCCCAGGGGTGGCTTTTCCAGTTATGCAAAGAATGCTGACGTGAAGGTGTGGTTGATTTGGTCTGAGCACCAGTCCAGATGTTGAGAAAATCCAGGCCTGTCTTGACTGCTATTTGCGAAGGCATTGATCCATTAGTCCATAAGCGATCACTGCGAGGAATCCAAATAGACCACACAGTCACTGCCATTCTCACTAGATTAATGTCCTCTTCAAGTAGCTGGTGGGAACAACTTCTTGTATGGATTATAGTTTTAGTAATATAATTAGTGACATTTTATAAATTATAATGTGATTCTATCAATCAATATTAATATGTTACATCATTTTTTATAGTACATGTCAATAATTCTAAAAAAATCACCAAGTTTTCTCTTTCTTTGCTTCCATGCATCTCCTGCTCTTATAACCCCCTACAACTTTGCCCTGTCCAAAACCCCACCACCACCACCTGAGCAATAAACCGCCACACTAGTCACCAAAATTGCAACCGTGCAAGGAAAAGAATATGCATGACGAGTGCAAGTACATACCAACCATCGATTTAAAAAAAAATAACTTTAATATTAAATTTATCTTCTTTGGAAATGTAAACCCCTAATTTATTTTTATAATATTTTTAGAAATTGAATTATATTTTAATTTTAATTTTTAACACAAGAAAATTTTAAACATAAAATTTCATTAAAACTTTTAAATAGAACTCAATTCAAAGATTACAGATGTTATAAATCCTAGCTAAACTTTGTCTATACTGTTCTGAGAAGTCGTTCACATAAGGTATTGCTCACCTGGAAAACACGAGCCAGTGTTTCATGATATTGACCGACGACCACGCTTTATCTGCAGGTTGTAACACCCGGATGGCTACGAGTGAAGGGCTAACATCATTTTAACCGTCAATGGGGTGCTCTTTTTTATCTTTCTTTTTTTATCAAATTATACGTGGGAGGTTCAATTCGCCGTGTGCTAAAAGTAGGAGGACCGGACTTGATTTTTAGTTCTTGCTTTAACCAGAAAACAGGAAGCAGAAAACGTAAAGGATCTAGCTTCAAATAAGACGAAGTTATAAAATCTACACATGGTGTAGCAAATTTCCCGAGAAAATCTTATAGCTCCACCCTCGAAAGAGGAGACGGAATGGTTTCTAATTACAATAGTCAATTTACTGCTCAAATTTGCTGTTCGAGTTACTAATTGAAACGTTCAACAAAGACCATCAAAAGTTGGCAAACGAAGCCAATATACTACCACTGACATACAAGATATGAAGAGTTTCCAGTTCAAATATCCAAATCTAATTGATGCTTATAGTTGTTCACCCATAAATAGCTCGGTGACGCAACCTTCTGCAGAAGCCAAAATACATCTGCCCCGGGTTATCAGAAACCTTTTTTTTATTTAGACGAAATGAAAAATGCAATGTAAACTTAAATTGTAAAGTTGTAAATATTTTTTTTAATTAATTATATATTAACAATTCTTTCGATAATGGAATTTTAGAAAGAATTGTAATTCATGATGTTAATGAACCAAAAAAAAACTAAAGGAATGGAAAGAGATTTCATTCCATTTTGAATTTTTGAATCCTAGAGTGAACCAAATATACCCTTTTGTATGAAGTTTC